TGGATTACCCTGATACGGGAGGGTGGTTTCATTTTCCTGTAACTCTTCCGGCCGTGGCAAATACTTATGCCGGGTCTGTTACCGCTTTCGTTTTCACCCTGCGCCGGGTAGCGAGGCTCCGCCATGGGGCGCTGGGTGTCCAGACAGAATCTGGAAGGGTGGAATTTCTGGTCTTAGTCTGTGACTGCTCTGGCTGGCCACCAACATCAGAGGCTGTTTATTTAGCCGGCTTTTTTTCTCTCTGTGTGATTCACTACCTCCTGGCGTACTTCCTTAACAGGGCGGCTCCCCCGCTCCCTGGCCTGAGGCCGGTATGGCATCTGGAGCGTTTGTTTAATTTTTAAGCCTTGTATTATTGTGGCGAAGAAGTTTCTTTATAAAGATGCCCCCGTTGTTCGAAGCCATTATCTCGGGGGTGCCATATTTACCCCCTACCTCAGTAAAAGAGCTTTTTGGCCACTACCCTGGTGCTGTTATTTTTTGTGGGAAATGCCTCTGCCCACCCTGCAAAGGCATGAATTATTACCAATAAATGCTGGGATTTGAAAAATCGATTTGAACCCTGGGCCGCGGCCCGAGCCGTCCTTGGCGCCTCCTGGGTTGCCTGTGTGGAGGGCGAGCCTTGCCCTGAGCACACCGCACGCTGTTTCGCACTCGCGCTTTCACATCCTTCTCCCATTCGGCTGCTTGCTTCAGCCTCCTTAAACTCCTTCCCGCTCCTTCATGCATCAACTGACTCCTGGCTCTCTGCGTTTCCCGGGACTCGGTTCGGGCCTTCTGTAGGGCCGTTTGTTGGCTCAGATGTGTCAGCACGGACGTCCCTTTTCGGACTGCCTATTACAACGGCTATGTCAAGCTCTCGGGCTAGTGGGGCAAAAATTGGGGATTGGTCCTGCTTCGAGCAGGGGGTTGGACTAGATGATCTCCTGAGGTCCCTTCCAACCCTGATCTTCTATGATTCTATGATTCTATGATTCTAGTGTAGCCGCCCGATTGTTCCCGGCGGCCTCCCTGCCCGCTCCTGTGCCGTGTGCCTTTACACGTCGCACCTTTAGCTGTTTCGGGTTCTTGGTTACCCTCTGGTACATTGTTTAGACGTGTGAGCACAGACCCTCGCTTTCCTTGTATGGAACTGTGCAGGGTTTTTCTTTATGCGCCGCCTTTTCCCCGTTCCGACACCAATCCTCTATTCAAAACTGTATTTTCTTTTTACACAGCCATCACCGTCAGTCAGCATAAAGATCCACCGGCAGCGGGGGATTTTCACATGGCCTTAAAACGCCCCGACAGCCCGAGACGATCCATGATCTAGACGTCCCTGAATGACTTCCTCTTCTAAGTTAAGGGCCGGGTATTTTACACCTTTTCCCTTTCACTACCATGCACTCCCGTCAGTAAACCAGACGTGCTTTTCTTGGCCCACGGGATCTAATTTTTTTGGTGGGGGTGTGTCTGCCAAGGCAGTGACCTCTGGACATTCGTGTCGGTTCCCTTTTTTAATATTTTGTAACAGTGCGGCAGCCAAGGCCGTGTTATTTAGCTGCCAAACGAATAACAAAAGAGTGTAATTCATCAGGGAAACACAGGGGAAAACAGAGCCGTCTGTTTGAGCAGGGTTAAAGCCGAGTCTGTTCCCCACTCCCATTCTGTCTTTTGCTTTAGCAGTTTCCACAAGGGGTGAGTGATTTCAGCACATTTATAAATGCTTCTGGGAACTTTCAGCGCCCGGATAACTAGAGCGCTCAGAAGATGCAGGGGAGAAGACGCTGGGAGATGATGCAGCCAATATTTAAGGAATATTTCACTCCCTGCCAGCCAGTCATGGAGAAAATGGAATCCTTCTAGCAGGAGTGGGCATCAGTAGGTGCCCGTACCTTCCCCTGATCCACCTGTCTCCCACCACCACGGCGCCCAGGTATGTAACCGGAGGTAGCACCCGCTGCGCCTTGTCCACGGCTGCTTTGAACCCCGGTTCCTGAATTAGCGCCCAAACGCTTTCCATTCGTGTTTGAGTTTGTGCCTCAGTTTCCCAAAGCAGACCCGGTTTGTAATGGTTTCGCATTTCTTTTACCCCGTCGACAATACACCCTGCACGTGTGCTGGGAAAAAGGCACTTTCCTTCCATAGGTTAATCACATTAGCCATGGCGAGTCTTACATAAGGGTGTAACTGGTTCTTTTGTACTCACAGGGTTTCCATGTACCCTCATCCAAGTGACCGTCTGATTACACAGAGCCGCCTTAAGGCTCAGTGTGGGGCCCGGTCTTTCACTGCACCTCTTATCTGCTCATTTGTTGCCAAAACCCAACTCTAGAATCTTTTCCCATTCTCCTGGTTTTGACGGCCTGCTGCAGCCACGACTGTGGCCTTTTAAAAAAATATTAAACGTATAAAGCATTAACGTACCTTGAGAGTTAAACACCAAACACCCAAGCCAAACATCACTCGCCCGGCAAAAAGTGGTTTTTGGTTTTGCAACTTGGAGTGAAAGGTTCAAATGGATTTTAGCGGTGTTATTTAAAAACCAGCCCAAACCGATTCATCTTAAACCGACAGAACATGAGTTTTACAAACCGGGAGTGTTGGTTTGTCGGTTCTAAACACGCCACGTATTTGCACAATATAGTTACACACGCACGTTCTGGTTTTGTAACGTCTCTTACGTGGCTTTAATTTTTACACAGATTACACCTGTATACATCTGGGGGCAGTGAAGTTCCCTTCTGTTCTTTTGGCAAATTTGACTAAATTGTTTTAAATCAGATTGTCTCCGTGCCTGGCTTCTTTACAGACACTCCTTTGGCCCATTTGCCCATCACAACGGCTGCAAAGAAACCAAGAATTATGTTTTTTTAATAACACTTTCCTTTTTAACGTTTTCACAGAGCGAGTCTTCTGCCAGCTCAGGACTCCAGGTTTCCTCCCCGGGCTCTGAACTCCCCAGGCCTGGACTTACATTTTTTACTTTTGCCACTGGGCCCTCAGGGCTCCCAACTTGTTTTCCAATTATTTTATCTGTTGCCTGCCTGCTTGTCTGGGCCTGATCCTGCTCTCCTCGCCGAACTGTCCTTTCCCATAGCAGGGAGGGTGGGCTCCTCCACCCAGCCCCCACCCCTCCTGGTCCCTTTCCTTAAACATTTCTTTCACAATTGGGAAATCGCTCACACAAAATCCTACCCGGCCCAAACTCCTCTGTCCGTCTGAGTCTGATTGAACAGAGCAAGATCTGTTTCAAAGGATTTGAACACAGTTTCGGCTTCGGCATGCTGCCCTTGAAACATTTCCCACCCAGGTGCTTCCACGAGTCAGGGTGACCAGCCAGCAAGTCTGAAAAATCGGGACAGGAGGTGGGGGGTGGTAGGTACCTGTATAATAAAAAGCCCCCCGAATCGGGACTGTCCCTATAAAATCGGGACACCCTACCCCTATTTGCCCTTCAGAGTTGGGTCTCCCAGAGGAAATCTTTGAATCTCTTTTCCCTTTATAACTCTCCCGTGCCCGTCCTCGTCTGTACACAAAATCTGAAAGCTCTGCCTGACAGGGCAGGAGGGGGAACGCTGAGCCCCCTACCTTTTGGGCTCGATCCTCTACGACCGCGGGTAAATTCACCGGTGCAATTTCCCCCCGACAGGCGGGTCGGAGCGGGGAGTCTAACCCTCCCCGTTGGGGCCCGGCACTTCTGCGCCCGGGGGTGCGTGTACCTGGACAGTTTGTACATCTTATGGTTTATCCGTCTACACCGACACATTTCAGACATGCCACATTGTTAGGTTTTATTGTCAACGACCCAAAATACCAACATAGCATTTTACTACCCCTGGGGGCCCGGAGAGTTTCCTGGGCTGGGTTCAGACGCTCACTAACCCCTCCTGTTTCAGGCTGCCGGGGAGTCGCTCCGGGCTAGAGAACGGGGGTGGCGGCCCCGGGGGTCCCGGGCGAGGGGACTCCCTGGGTTTGTCGAAGCCAGACGTGGACCTTGTAGCCAGGCAAGCGGCTGAGCTGTTCATGGGAAAGAAATCTCCCCCCCTCCGCCCCCCGGGGCCAGGTCCCTCAACCTGTTTCACGCTGGGGAAGAGGGTGGCTAGCTCCCGGAGGGCTGGGGCTAGCAACTTGTTAGGAGCCGCACCCGGGCTGGAGCGGTTGACTTGTCCCGAGCAAGGCCAGCGAGCTGCCGCAGTGAATCGGGGCCGGGAACTCAGGAGACTTCAGGGCTCAAAGGTACGACCCCGACGCCGGGCGGAGGTGGGCCCGGGAGAGACCCCGGCCCAGCCAGGGTGCCCGCAGGGGATCCCGTGAAGCCGGACGGGGGAAGCTGCGGGGCTCACGGGCAGGGTGGGGTGGGGCCAAGCAGGGGAGGAACATGGGGGGCTGAGGGCGGACGAACAGCCCAGGAGTGGGGTGCATGGGGCGCCGGGAGACAAGACGTCACGCGGGAGGGGAGGCTGGAGGCCGCATTGTGCGGGGGGGAAGGGGGGTTCTGGATTATTTTGCCCTCTGGCTTGGTAATAAACCAACTCGCCCCATGCCTGCCCCACAAGGAGGGGGTCCTGTCAGACAAGGGAGCCGTTTTGGGAAACTGAGGCAGGCTGCCCTGTTGCACCCCAGCCGGACGCTGGCAGAACACCCCCCCCACCCCGCAGGGAGCTGAGTTTGGGTCCAGGGCGCCAGCAGGAGCAGGCGGGGGGGCTACGGTGCCCCCCAAAGGACAGGCTGAGAGGCAGCCTGATGTGGGGGGCCCCCCACGCTGGGACGTTGACAGCAGAGGGGCTGGGGGGCTGAGCGGGTTCCCCCGCCTGGCTTCCCCTCTACCCACTCCGAATCCTCCCCCCACCAGGGGGCACGGGACTGGGGACCCCACATTGAACCCCGGATCCCCCCAGGACCCACTCCCACTCCCCCACGGTGCACTGGGCCTGCCGCCCCCGCCCCCCCCGCAGGCCGGGCTCCCCCCACAATCCCAGCCCCCAATAAAGACACGAGGCAGCTGGGAAGAGGCTGCGAGGCAGGTTTAATGGGCGGGCGCCCCCCGGGGGGCCCTAGGGGGGGCAGCAGAAGAAGCGGGCGTCGTTGAGGGCCGTGTTGTCACCCCGCTGGCCCCGGGGCTCCTCCACCCGGGTCTGGAGGCCGCAGACGGAGCCGGAGAGGCAGGGACGGCTCCAGGGCCCCTCCTGGCCCCCGGCGTCCCCGGCGTCCCCGGCCAGCAGCTCCCCGTCGGAGCAGGCCACGCGCAGGCCGGTGGCGGCCACGTCGTCCCCGGCGTCCGGCCGCGGCTGCACCCCCAGCGAGAAGGCCCGAAGGTAGCCCCGGGGGCAGTACCGGGCGCCCAGCCACCTGCCCCAGCTGAGCCGGGCGGGGGAGAGGAGGGGTTAGATCCGTCTGTCCGCCCGTCCCTCCACCCAGCCACCCACCCGTCCGTCCGTCCGTCCCTCCATCCATCTATCCACCCATCCTCCCACTCAACCATCCGTCTCTCCATCCACCCCTCCACTTACCCACCCGTCCACCCGTCCGTCCATCTATCCCCCCACCTGTCCACCCCTCTACCCGCCTGTCCAGCCATCCGTCCACCCACCCACCTACCCACCCATCCGTCCGTCCATCCCTCAGCCCACCTACCCACCCATGCATCCATCCGTCCATCCATCCACCCACCCGTCCGTCCGTCCCTCCATCCATCTATCCACCCATCCTCCCACTCAACCATCCGTCTCTCCATCCACCCCTCCACTTACCCACCCGTCCACCCGTCCGTCCATCTATCCCCCCACCTGTCCACCCCTCTACCCGCCTGTCCAGCCATCCGTCCACCCACCCACCTACCCACCCATCCGTCCGTCCATCCCTCAGCCCACCTACCCACCCATGCATCCATCCGTCCGTCCATCCACCCACCCGTCCGTCCGTCCCTCCATCCATCTATCCACCCATCCTCCCACTCAACCATCCAGCCACCTGTCCACCCGTCTGTCCATCCATCCCTCCACCCGTCCACCCATCTGTCCATCCATCTATCCACTCATCTACCCACCCGTCCACCCGTCCCTGCACCCACCCACCTGTCCACCCGTCCGTCCCTCCACCCATCTATCCACCCATCCTCCCACTCAACCATCCGTCTCTCCATCCACCCCTCCACTTACCCACCCGTCCACCCGTCCATCCATCTATCCCCCCACCTGTCCACCCCTCTACCCGCCTGTCCAGCCATCCGTCCACCCACCCACCTACCCACCCATCCGTCCGTCCATCCCTCAGCCCACCTACCCACCCATGCATCCATCCGTCCGTCCATCCACCCACCCGTCCGTCCGTCCCTCCATCCATCTATCCACCCATCCTCCCACTCAACCATCCAGCCACCTGTCCACCCGTCTGTCCATCCATCCCTCCACCCGTCCACCCATCTGTCCATCCATCTATCCACTCATCTACCCACCCGTCCACCCGTCCCTGCACCCACCCACCTGTCCACCCGTCCGTCCCTCCACCCATCTATCCACCCATCCTCCCACTCAACCATCCGTCTCTCCATCCACCCCTCCACTTACCCACCCGTCCACCCGTCCGTCCATCTATCCCCCCACCTGTCCACCGTCTACCCGCCTGTCCAGCCATCCGTCCACCCACCCACCTACCCACCCATAAGTCCGTCCATCCCTCGGCCCACCTACCCACCCATGCATCCATCCGTCCGTCCCTCCATCCATATATCCACCCATCCTCCCACTCAACCATCCAGCCACCTGTCCACTCGTCTGTCCGCCCGTCCCTCCACCCAGCCACCCACCCGTCCATCCCTCCATCCATCTATCCACCCATCCTCCCACTCAACCATCCGTCTCCCCATCCACCCCTCCACTTACCCACCCGTCCACCCGTCCGTCCATCTATCTCCCCACCTGTCCACCCCTCTACCCGCCTGTCCAGCCATCCGTCCACCCACCCACCTACCCACCCATCCGTCCGTCCATCCCTCAGCCCACCTACCCACCCATGCATCCATCCGTCCGTCCATCCACCCACCCGTCCGTCCGTCCCTCCATCCATCTATCCACCCATCCTCCCACTCAACCATCCAGCCACCTGTCCACCCGTCTGTCCATCCATCCCTCCACCCGTCCACCCATCTGTCCATCCATCTATCCACCCATCTACCCACCCGTCCACCCGTCCCTGCACCCACCCACCTGTCCACCCGTCCGTCCCTCCACCCATCTAACCACCCACCCGCCCACTCAACCATCCGGCTCTCCATCCACTCCTCCACCCATCCGTCCATCCATCTATCCCCCCACCTGTCCACCCATCTACCCACCTGTCCACCCATCCATCCCTCTATCCACCCATCCACCCACTCAACCATCTACCCACCTGTCCACCCATCCGTCCATCTATCCATCCACCCACCTACCCACCCATCCGTCCGTCCATCCCTCGGCCCACCTACCCACCCATGCATCCATCCGTCTGTCCATCCCTCCACCCACCTACCCACCCATCTGCCCACCCACCCGTCCGTCCATCTATCCACCCACCTACCCATCCGTCCATCCGTCCGTCCATCCACCCATCCACCTATCAACCCACCCATCTGTCTACACATCCCTCCCCCATCCACCCATCTGTCCATCCCTTCCTCCCCCCTTCACCCCCATGTTCGTCCCCAGACCCCCATCTGTTCCTCCCTCCCTCTCCAGATGGGGGATTCCTCGGGGATGGGGGGGGCTCAGAAAGGACCTAGCCCTTGGGGGCTGACACAAGGCGGGGTAGGCCCATGGCTGGTGGGGTACGGGGGGGGGGGGGGGGCTCCGTGCAGGGCTGCAGTTAGGGACCCAGGCGTCCGGTACTCACGCTCCCACGCTGGACTGGATGGTGGAGCCGTCGGAGCAGTGCAGACGGATCCCGTTCAGCCCCGTGTCGTCCTCCCCCGGCCCGTCGCCCTGGTAGGGGTGCACCTGGGGGGCAGGGGGGCAGAGACGGGGTGAGGTGGGGGGGCCCCGAGGGTCAGAGAGAGGGCACTGAGAGGGGGGATGGGAGGAGGAAAATGGGGGTGGGAAATAAGGGGGATGTTGGGGGGCAGAGAGATAAGGGGGCTGTTGGGGGCAGAGGGGGGCAGGGGATGTAAAAGGGGGGTGTACAGGTGGGGGGGGCTGCTACCTTCAAGGCGAAGCCGTTGACGTAGCTGGCCGGGGGGCACATCTCCACGGGCCCCCACGCCCCCCGCGGGGCCCCGTTGGGGGCCATGATGACCTGGTTGTAGGGCCGGGAGGCGGGCGCCTCGGCCTGGCCCCCCGGCACGGCCCCCGGGGCCAGCAGCAGGCAGAGCAGGGCACCGAGCAGCAGCTGCATGGCGGCCGCGGCCGGACTCGGGGTCTGCGGGCTGGGCGCCGAGGGGGCGTTTGTATCCCGGCTGGTCCCTGGGCCAACGCCAAGGCACACAGGGGCCTTATCTCCCCGGGGCGGGGTCACCGTGACCCAGGCCGCCCTGTCCCCCTCCCGCCCCCCTTGCACTGTGGACCCGGTGTCCCCGCTGCAGGGGGTGCCCCTCACTCCCGACCCGCAGCCCCCTGCCTCAGTGGTTCTCGGCAAGCGGGGGAGGGGGTCTGATAGCAGCTGCTGTTACCGTCCTGGGGGGGCGTGTGGGGGGGGAGTTTGTGGGGAGCTTGCAGGTTGAGAGGCGGGGGGGGGACCCCGCATGGCTAACGGATCTGAACAGCTGAGATCTCCGCCCGAGGGGGGCTGCGGTGTGGGAGGGGGGAGTGGGGAGGGGTGTGGCGGGGGGAGGTGAATTAGGGTGGGAGGTACATGGGCAGGGGGGAGGGGGGAATTGCCTTGGGGGAGCCGAAGGGCCGAGGGGGGCGGGGAGTCGGGGTGCACGGTGTGTGTGTGGGGGGGTGACTTACAGAGGGAGTGGGTGAGGAAGCGGCAAGGCCGGGGGGGGGGGACTTGGTGTTGAGCCACACACACACCGGGGTTGGGGGGCGGGGGGGAGCTATGGGGGGGGAAGAGGGGCCTGCAGGGTGCCCCACAGCAACAGAGACGGGCGGGGGGGCGAGAGAGAGAGACATTTCGGCCTCCTTATCGCTGTTGATTCAGCCTTGCTCATTTCCTGATAACGAGGTGCTTGCGATAAAGCCACCAACCACTTCCCCCCCGCCCCCCCGCCTTCCCCAGCCAGCCCCCCCCCCCCCCCCACGCCGAGCAGGGTGCAAAGACCCGGCCAGGAGGAAACCACCGAGATGCAGCCAGGTGGCAAGTGGGGCATTCGCGCTGCTAAGACACGGCTGCCCCCCCCGTGCCCCCCCCAGACCGGCAGCTCCCCCCGCCGGGCTCCGGGCTCGTCCCCCCGTCTCACTGCTGCAAATGGTGCCCCGGGAGCTGGACCTTCCCACGCCCCACACGCCACCTCCTTCCCCGCCCCGGCCGAGGGGCGATGGGGCCACTCCGGCCGGGCACCCCAGGGACCCGCGGGGCGCCCCCGTCACATGGCCAGCGGGCGCGGCACGGGTCCCTGGGGTGCCCCTCGGCCCCGGCCCTTCTCCAGCCAGCCGTGGGGCCGGGACCCCCGAGGGGCGCTGGGCTGAGCCGCCGGAGAAGCCGCCAGAGCAGCCGGGCGTGTGGGTGCAGGGAGGGGATATTCGGGGCCCGGGTCTGTCTGGGGGCTGTGCCTGGACGCTTCGCACCACTGCCCTCCACATCGGCCCCACGGCCCCAGCCACCCAGTCTCCTCCCCTTCCCCGGATCGGCCCCACGGTCCCCTCCAGATCGGCCCCACGGCCCCAGCCACCCAGTCTCCTCCCCTCCCCTGGATCGGCCCCACGGTCCCCTCCGGATCGGCCCCATGGCCCCAGCCACCCAGTCTCCTCCCCTTCCCCGGATCGGCCCCACGGTCCCCTCCGGATCGGCCCCACGGCCCCAGCCACCCGGTCTCCTCCCCTCCCCTGGATCGGCCCCAAGGTCCCCTCCGGATCGGCCCCACGGCCCCAGCCACCCGGTCTCCTCCCCTTCCCCGGATCGGCCCCACGGTCCCCTCCGGATCGGCCCCACGGCCCCAGCCACCCGGTCTCCTCCCCTCCCCTGGATCGGCCCCAAGGTCCCCTCCGGATCGGCCCCACGGCCCCAGCCACCCGGTCTCCTCCCCTCCCCTGGATCGGCCCCAAGGTCCCCTCCGGATCGGCCCCACGGCCCCAGCCACCCGGTCTCCTCCCCTTCCCCGGATCGGCCCCACGGTCCCCTCCGGATCGGCCCCACGGCCCCAGCCACCCGGTCTCCTCCCCTCCCCTGGATCGGCCCCACGGTCCCCTCCGGATGGGCCCCACGGCCCCAGCCACCCGGTCTCCTCCCCTTCCCCGGATCGGCCCCACGGTCCCCTCCGGATCGGCCCTACGGCCCCAGCCACCCGGTCTCCTCCCCTTCCCCGGATGGCCCCAAGGTCCCCTCCGGATTGCCCACGGCCCCAGCCACCCTCCCTCCCCTTCCCCGGATGCCCCACAGCCCCTCCAGATCAGCCCCAGGCCCCAGCCACCGTCTCCTCCCCTGCCCCAGATGCCCCACTCCCTCCGGATGCCCCACGCCCCAGCCACCTGGTCTCCTCCCCTCCCCTGGATCAGCCCCAAGGTCCCCTCCGGAGCCCCAGCCACCCAGTCTCCTCCCCTCCCCTGGATCAGCCCCAAGGTCCCCTCCGGATGGCCCCATGGCCCCAGCCACCCGGTCTCCTCCCCTTCCCCGGATCGGCCCCACGGTCCCCTCCGGATCGGCCCTACGGCCCCAGCCACCCGGTCTCCTCCCCTTCCCCGGATCGGCCCCACGGTCCCCTCCGGATGGGCCCCACGGCCCCAGCCACCCGGTCTCCTCCCCTTCCCCGGATCGGCCCCACAGCCCCCTCCAGATCAGCCCCACGGCCCCAGCCACCCGGTCTCCTCCCCTGCCCCAGATCGGCCCCAAGGTCCCCTCCGGATTGGCCCCACGGCCCCAGCCACCTGGTCTCCTCCCCTCCCCTGGATCAGCCCCAAGGTCCCCTCCGGATCGGCCCCAGCCACCCAGTCTCCTCCCCTCCCCTGGATCAGCCCCAAGGTCCCCTCCGGATCGGCCCCATGGCCCCAGCCACCCGGTCTCCTCCCCTTCCCCGGATCGGCCCCAAGGCCCCCTCCAGATCAGCCCCACGGCCCCAGCCACCCGGTCTCCTCCCCTGCCCCAGATCAGCCCCACGGTCCCCTCCAGATCAGCCCCAAGGTCCCCTCCGGATCAGCCCCACGGCCCCAGCCACCCGGTCGCCCCTCCTCCCCCAGCCGGACCCAGACAGCGGCGGGAGCTGTGGCCCCAGTGGGGGGGGGCTACACACTCCCAGGCTGGGGGGGAGGTGGGGAATTGGGCCCCTCTGATCACACCTGGGTCTCAGCTTCAAGCGCGACGGGTGCCAGGCAGTTTGAGGGGAGAGGGGGAGGGGGAGTCTGAGCGTACATGGCTCTGTGTGTGTGAATCTGTTTGCACAAGTGTGTTTGCATGTGTGTAGATCTGCTCGCACGTGTGAACCTGCTTGCACGAGCGTGCATGTTTGCACATGCATGAATCTGTTTGCACAAGTGTTTGCAGATCTGCTCGCACGTGTGAACCTGCTCGCACGAGTGTGCATGTTTGCAAGTGTGCGTGAAGGGGCTCTGTCTCTTTTACACGCTGACAACCCTTGCCGACCCTCTCACCCCAATGCAGCTGTAGCCGAGCGGACGGCGGGTGTAGCCGGCTGAGGGTGCGTCTGTGCCGTCCCGCTACCCGGCTGGGATCTGACTGTCAACAGCCTGGCCTTGTCCTGACACCCACCGGCTGGGGCTCAGCAGGCCTGGGTCCTGTTCCCAGCTGACCCTATGCCCATTCCAGCAGCTCGCTGTGCCTCGGTTTCCCCTTCCCGGGGCCCCACCCAGGCCTGCGACGGATGCGGCAGAAGCACCCGGAAGGAGGTGAGTCTGCATCTGAGATGGGTCCATCCCGCTGCCGCCTCTGACGTCACCCCCACCCCCACCCCGTCCCTGGTGGGGGGGTCAGGAAATGGGTCCCGCCCCATAACGCCATCACGGAGGCAGAATCGCCCGGGGACCGAGGTGCCATGGAGCTTCCGATGGGGCTTTTCCTCCTCGTTCTCTGCTTCGGGGGTGAGGCCGCTGCAGGGCAGGGGAGCCCCAAACCTGGGGAATCGGGAGTTGGGGAGGGGACGCCCCAGGGATGGATAGCGCCTGGATGGAACAAATGGAGTCGGGGCCCCCCCAGCAGGGAAATGGGGAGCCATAGATGGATGGGTGCTTTATGGGGATGGATAGAGGGGGTGCATGAGGACGGATGGATGGGCGGTCGGACGGATGGGGGTACATAGGGCTGGCTTGGATGGATGGACGGACAGGCAGATGGATGGGGGGACAGATGGATGGATGGATTGATGGATGGATGGATGGTTGGGGGTACATAGAGAAGAATGGACAGATGGGAGGATGGATGGATGGGGATACATAGGGCTGGATGGATGGATGGATGGATGGATGGATGGATGGGGGGACAAAGGGCTGGATGGATGGATGGATGGATGCGGGGACATAGGGAAAGAAGGAAGGAGGGACAGGCGGAAGGACAGATGGGGGGACATAGGGCTGGATGGACAGACGGGCAGACGGATGGATGGGGGGACATAGGGATGGATGGTAGGGGGGACATAGGGTTGGATGGATGGAGGGACAGGCAGACGGACGGATAGGGAGACATAGGGAAGGATGGAAGGAGGGACAGGCGGACGGACAGATAGGGGGACACAGGGCTGGATGGACAGACGGGCAGACGGATGGATGGGGGGACATAGGGATGGATGGATGGAGGGACAGGCAGACGGACGGATGCTGGAGAACCCCTTCGATATCTCTACCCCCCCCCCCGTCTGTGGAGGCACCAGGGCTGCCCACGTCGCCCCCGCCTGCCCCCCCCCACGGTTGGCTGGACTCTTGTGGGGTTTGGAAGGGGCTGGCTCAGCAGATGTAGGTTCGCGGGGGGGGGTGCGAAGCGGCGGGGGGCGGGTTAGGTGGGTGCGCAGTGAGCTCGCCCTGCAGCCCTGAACACACGGCCTGTGTAACGGCTCCTCGGGCCCCTACCCCCTGTCCCGGCTCCCAGACCCCCTGCTCTAAACCCACCAGCCCCCGCTCCCCTCCCTGAGCCGGGGAGAGAACCCAGGCGTCCGGGCTCCCAGCCCCCCTGCTCTAAACCCACCAGCCCCCGCTCCCCTCCCTGAGCCGGGGAGAGAACCCAGGCGTCCGGGCTCCCAGACCCCCTGCTCTAAACCCACCAGCCCCCGCTCCCCTCCCTGAGCCGGGGAGAGAACCCAGGCGTCCGGGCTCCCAGACCCCCTGCTCTAAACCCACCAGCCCCCGCTCCCCTCCCTGAGCCGGGGAGAGGACCCAGGCGTCCGGGCTCCCAGCCCCCCTGCTCTAAACCCACCAGCCCCCGCTCCCCTCCCTGAGCCGGGGAGAGAACCCAGGCGTCCCGGCTCCCAGCCCCCACCCCTGCTCTGACCCACTAGTGAGTGGCTGTGTGTGGGTCTGTGTGTGAGCCCCCCCAATCCATGCCCCCCAAGGCCCATCTCACCCCTCTCCGCTCCCCGCAGGGGCCCTGGGGGAGCCGCTCCGGCTGACCCAGCCGTCCCCATCCCACGTGGTGGACGAGAAGATCCCGCGGCTCCGCTGCCGGATGTCGGGGAGCAACATCACCAGCCACGTCCTGTCCTGGTACCACCAGCCCCCCGGGCAGGGCCCCGTCTTCCTGCTGAGCCACCGGGCCGGGGAGAACAAGCCCGTCTACGGGGCCGGCGTCTCCGAGCGCTTCATCGCCGACCTGGAGCGCGCCACCAACTCCTTCAGCCTCACCGTCGGCAACGTGAAGCCCGCCGATGCCGGCACGTACTATTGCGCCGTCTGGTACGCCAACCGGTACCTCTTCGGAGAGGGCACCCGCCTGCTCCTGGGAGGTGAGCAAGCCGGAACCGGCCCGGAGCCCGGCTAGAGCCCGGCGGGGCGTTCCGGAGCGGGTTCCGGAGCGGGTTCCGGAGCGGGTTCCGGAGCGGCGCCCCCAGGGCCGGCCGGGGCTGCGGCCGGAAGAGAGAGAGCGAGAGCGGGCGAGCCAACCGAGAGCCCGCCCCCAAATCAATCTAGAGCGAGCCACGGAAATGTTCTGGAGCTGGCACGCGGTCAGTGGGGGGCGGTGCGGGGGGAAACACCCACGGCCGATCGAGAACCCGCCCAGAGTCGATCTAGAACCTGCCGGGACTTGGCCTAGAACGTGCCCAGAGCCCTTCCAGCTCAGAGCCGTGGAAATGTTCTGGAGCTGGCACGTGGTTCGTGGGGGCCGGGCAGGGAGGGACACCCACGTCCGATCTAGAACCCACCCCGAATCGATCTAGAACCTGCCACGACTTGACCTAGAACGTGCCCAGAGCCCTTCCAGCTCAGAGCCATGGAAATGTTCTGGAGCTGGCACGTGGTTCGTGAGGGCCGGGCGGGGAGGGACACCCACGTCCGATCTAGAACCCACCCCGAATCGATCTAGAACCTGCCGCGACTCGACCTGACTCGTGCCCAGAGCCCTTCCAGCTCAGAGCCGTGGAAATGTTCTGGAGCTGGCACGTGGTTCGGGGGGGCCGTGCCGGGGGGGAATACCTCGGGCTGATCTAGAACCCACCCCGAAACGATCCAGAGAACATGCCGAACCATTCTGGGTCCGATCCAGCCTAAGGCTGACACTGGGACCCCCCCCGAACCCAGTCTCGATCCCACACACAACCAAGCCCCAAGTCCCTAGAGCAGCCCAGGACCCACCTAGAACCGAGCCCCACCGATGCCGCCCCCCGCCCTGACCCTCTCCCCTCTCCGGTTCCAGGTGACCCCGGGAAGCAGCGCCCGCCGGAGGTGGCGTTGCTGGGCCCGGCGTGGGCGGCCGGCCCGGCCTTCCTGTGCCTGGCCTGGGGGTTCTCCCCGGAGCCGGTCCGGCTGCGCTGGCAGGTGGACGGGCAGGAGCCGGGCCCTGGGGAGGCCTCCCCGCCGGCGGAGGGCCGGGATGGGGCAGGAGCCGCCAGCGTGCTCAGCCTCCTGCCCCGGGCCTGGCTGGACGGAGCCCAGGTGACCTGCCGGGTGGAGCACGAGACCCGGGTCCAGCAGAGCAGCGCCAAGCTGAAGGGGGCCGGGCGGCAAGGTGAGACCCCCCCGAACCCCCAAACTCTCCCCTTCCCCCCACGGTATTTCACCCCCCGATTCGTCTCTCCCCACACCCACAGGTTGCTTGGTATCCCCCAGAGACCCTGTCTCGCCGCCCGACCCTCTCGGCAATGGGACCTCGGGGAGCGCCGCCCCCCAGAGCACCGGTATGGGACCCCCAACCCTCCCCCTGGGCCCGCTTTGGGGTCACAGCCACAGCCCCCCCTAACTGTCCCCTCTCCCCCACAGGGGCCCCGAGCCTGGGCCGGATCCTGATGACGGCCTGGTGGTGCTACCTGGGGTCGCTGGCCGCCAGCTGCCTCTACGGCCTGGGGGTCTCCCTCCTCGTGGGGCTGCGGGAGCTGCGGGGGCAGCAGGAACCCAGGCGTCCGGGGCCACCCCCACCCCCTCCAGGAGCCTGGCAGAGAGCGCCCCGAAGGAGAGCCGGCGAGGAGCGCCGCTTCAAATGAGACTCCCCGGCCCCCCCACTGGTCCCCCCCGTACTCCCCGCCTGGGGACCGGGAACGCCCCTGCACTGGCCCCCCCCAGCCCCCACCCTGGCTGTCCCATGCCAGCTGGAGAGCTGACCCCACTCAGCCCCTGCTAACCCTCCCCCGGCCCCCCACCCGCACCGAGCTTGGCTATTGCTGAATAAAACCTTAACCAACCCCTGTGGGACTGAGTCTGTGCAACGGGGAACCTCAGCCCCCCCTGCCCTCCCGCTGCCCCCCAGCTGCCACCCCCGGGTGAGTCTGTGCAACTGGGGACTCCTGGGTTCTCTCCCCGGCTCTGGGGGAGTGGGGGGTGGTGGGTTAGAGCAGGGGGGCTGGGAGCCAGGACTCCTGGGTTCTCTCCCCGTCGCTGGGAGGGGAGTGGGGGCTCGTGGGTTAGAGCAGGGGGGCTGGGAGCCAGGACTCCTGGGTTCTCTCCCCGTCGCTGGGAGGGGAGTGGGGGCTGGGAGCCAGGACTCCTGGGTTCTCTCCCCGTCGCTGGGAGGGGAGTGGGGGCTGGGAGCCAGGTCTCCTGGGTTCTCTCCCCATCGCTGGGAGGGGAGTGGGGGCTGGGAGCCAGGACTCCTGGGTTCTCTCCCCAGCTCTGAGAGGGGAGTGGGGGCTGGTGGGTTAGAGCAGGGGGGCTGGGAGCCAGGACTCCTGGGTTCTCTCCCCGGCTCTGGGAGGGGAGTGGGGGCTCGTGGGTTAGAGCAGGGGGGCTGGGAGCCAGGACACCTGGGTTCTCTCCCCGTGGCTGGGAGGGGAGTGGGGGCTGGGAGCCCCCATACTCCAGCCTTCTTCTCCCCCCAGATTCCCCCCATTCCGCTCCATCGGGCAAAGTCCCTTCAGCTGTTAATTTTTAACCCGACCAGCTCCCCGCCCCCCCATCTGGCCTCCAGCCACCCTGGGTTTGATCCATGGGGCTGAGGGGAGCCCGCGACAGCCCCCCGCCCACTGCCGCTTTGGCCAGGGAACAGGGACATGGGGCATTTCCCCTCGGGAGGGGGCTGAGGGGGGTCTCCCGGGGGGGGGGATGGGAGCCCCGCCCCAGATAACAGGCCCTTATCTTTGGTGAGCAGCTGGGCCGGGCTGGGGCAGGGCTCAGGGCCGTGGGGCCGGGCGCCGTGGGGCCGGGGTGTGCGGGGATGGGCCCCCAGCGGCTGCCGTGGTTCCTGCTCCCCACTGCGGCCTTGCTTGGCCTCCTCTTCCTCTCCAGCCTCCGGCTCCGTGAGTGACCCCCCCACCCCGCTGCCCCCCCACCCCTGCCCCCCACCAGCCGCCAGCTCCACAAGTGACCCCCTCACCCCAGCGGACACACACTGCCCCAGCCCCGCCCCCCACGTGCCCCACAGACCCCCCCAAACCCCGCCTGCCCCCCCACTGCCCCCTCCCTCACCCCGCTGACCTCTGGCCCTGTGTGACTCCCCCCCCCACTTGCTCCAGTTCCCTCAGGCCCCCCACTGGGTGACACCCCCCCTCAGCAACCCCCACCCCCCGCCTAGCACCCACGCCGGCCTCTGGCTCCGGGAGGGAGCAGGACGGCCCCACAGACCTGCTCCCCCCGTCAACCCCCCCTCCCCGGGCCCCCCAGCCACGGGCTCCCCCCCGGTCCCCCGGGCTCTGTATGAGCATGGTGGGGGGCGGATTGTGTCAGTCCGTGGGACGGCGGGGTGGGGGGGCTGCGCTCGGGGCGGCGCGGGCTGTCATATGTACCAGGCGTGTTCTTAGCGTGTGGCCTGCGTGTGGCCTGCCCCCGTGCCGAGCACACCGGCCGCAGGCTTGTGCGTGGTTCGCGTGTGCAAAGCCGGAGGCCTGCAGCTCCCCGTGTGTGTGTCATGCGTGTCGTTAGCGTGTGCGCCCCCCCGTGCAAACTGGGGAGACCACTGGGAATGGGCGGGGGGCACTGTCCGTCTGTCCGCGTCTCTGAGCTCTGTCCCCCCCCCCGGAATAGCAGAGGTGCACCTCTCGGCCTGCGTTCGGGGCGGGCGGCCCTGTGGCTGGCTCGGGGGCAGAGGGGAGACGCCCCCCTCCGAAGAGAACGGGAAGGTGAGACCCCCCCCCTTGTCCTCCTCCCCCGCAAACCCTGCCCCCCTCCCAGCCCTGACTCCTGCCCCCGTCCCAAATTCGGCTCCTCTCCTGATCCTACCCCAAATCCTCCCCATTCCACCTGCCCCACTTCCTGATCCCGACCCCCCTCCTGCTCGGCCCCCCCGCCCCGGCACCTGCCCCACAGAGAACCTGTCTGCTTTGTGTCCCCTCTGCAGCCGCCCCTTCTCGCCCAGACGAGCGGCTCCCGGCTGCCCCTCCCCAGGCATGGGATCCCCCCTCCGGCCCGGGCCCCCCGCTGCCCAGGCCAGGCCTTCCAGATCAGCCGCCTCCTGGCGGCCTTCAGGGCCTGCCTGACTCCGGACGGAGAAATCCTGCTGGGAGAGTATCTGGCTGGCTGGAAAGAACTGATCAAGTGAGTCCATCCCCGTACAACCGGCTGTCCCACCCCAGAGGTGGCCGCGTCTTGGCGCCAGGCGAGGGGTCCCCAAGTCACCGGCCGCCCCGCCCCAGAGGTGGCTGCATCTCAGCGCCGGGAGAGGGGTCCCCGCGTCACCGGCCACCCCGCCCCAGAGGTGGCTGCGTCTCAGTGCCGGGAGAGGGGTCCCCGCGTCACCGGCCACCCCGCCCCAGAGGTGGCCGCATCTCAGTGCCGGGAGAGGGGTCCCCGCGTCACCGGCCGCCCCGCCCCAGAGGTGGCCGCATCTCAGCGCCGGGAGAGGGGTCCCCGCGTCACCGGCCGCCCCGCCCCAGAGGTGGCCGCATCTCGGCGCCGGGCCAGGGCTCAGCTGTCCCCTCTCTCTCTCCCCCGCAGACTGATAGACACTCTGGGGGCCGCCTTCGGCCTCCTGGCCCGGGAGACGCAGACGAAGATGGAGATCCTGCAGGGGCACCGTGCGGGGCCGCACGCCCCTCACTACCGCACCCTGCAGGCCATGGTGGCCTTCGAGCTGCGGCGCGGCCTGGTGGGGCTCCGGGCACTGCCCCCGGGCCGGCCCCCCTCGGGCTGCCGGACCCTGCTCCGCCTCCACCGGGCCCTCAAGTGGCTGGAGCTGTTCCTGGGGAAGTTGAGCCGCAGTGGGCCGGAGGAAGACCCCTCCCAGCTCTGCGCCGAGGCCTACCAGGCGGCCCTGGCCCCGTACCACAGCTGGTGGGTGCGCCAGGCGGCCGGGCTGGCCTTCCTGGCCCTGCCCTCGCGCCAGGAGCTGTACGGGCTCGTCTGCGCCGAGGGGGAGCGGGAGGCCCGGGCCGTGCTCCTGGACGCGGTCGGCGTCATCGCCGGAGTCTATAACGTCACCCAGCGGCTCTACGCCGCCCGTGGCCTCTTGGAGCTGCCCTGAGTGGTCGCCGGGGGGCGCCGGAGAGGACAGGGTGGGGGGCACCGGCTCCCCCCGGCCCCAGGGCGGGGACTGGCTGGCTCAGGGGTGCAGGGAACGGGGCAGGGGCCTGTCCCCTCTGGGGGGCGCCGGCTCCCCCTGTCCCCAGGGCAGGGAATGGGGCAGGGGCCTGACCCCTCTGGGGGGCGCTGGCTCCCTCCGGCCCCAGGGCGGGGACCGGCTGGCTCAGGGGCGCAGGGAACGGGGCAGGGGCCTGACCCCTCTGGGGGGCGCCGGCTGGGCTCTCCCGGGCAGGGCGCTGGGCGCGGTTGTGAACCAGAAGCCCCGGAAACGGGGCCAAGTAAAGAGACGCCCCGAGCTCGACGTGGTGGCCGGAGTCTTTTGTCACGAGACGCTTTTCGCCGCCCAGCCAGGCCGGTCTCTGGGCCTCCTCGGGGGAGTATCGTGTAGGGGTCCCCCCACCCCATGGAAATGCAGGGCAGCCCCAGGCACGACGCGGGGGGGCGTCTCAGGGGGGCCGTGTGACCCCTGAGGGCGCCGCGCTCCCCGGCTGCCTCCTGCCCTTCGTGAACTGAGCAGCCCCCGCCGGGCGTGGGGAGGGCAGGGAGGACGCCGGGCTGGGTGGGGCCGTGGGGCAGGGCAGGGGGGACGCCGGGCGGGCGTGGGGCGCGGCGTGGGCAGGGCAGGGAGGACACAGGGCTGGGTGGGGCCGTGGGGCAGGGCTGGGGGGGACGCAGGGCGGGGGTGGGGCTGTGGGGCAGGGACGGGGGGAGGGCGGGGCTGGAGGGGACGCAGGGCGGGGGTGGGGCCGTGGGGCAGGGACGGGGGGAGGGCGGGGCTGGGGGGGGACGAGGGCGGGGGTGGGGCCGTGGGGCGGGGCTGGGGGGACGAGAGCGGGGGTGGGCCCGTGGGGCAGGGACGGGGTGGGGCCGTGGGGGGGGGCTGGGGGGGACGCAGGGCGGGGGTGGGGCTGTGGGGCAGGGACGGGGGGAGGGCGGGGCTGGAGGGGACGAGGGCGGGGGTGGGGCCGTGGGGCAGGGACGGGGGAGGGCGGGGCTGGGGGGAACGAGGGCGGGGGTGGGGCGGGGGGCGGGGCTGGGGGGACGAGAGCGGGGGTGGGCCCGTGGGGAGGGACGGGGTGGGGCCGTGGGGGGGGCTGGGGGGGACGAGGGGGGGGTGGGGCCGTGGGGCAGGGCAGGGGGGACGCCGGGCGGGCGTGGGGCGCGGCGTGGGCAGGGCAGGGAGGACACAGGGCTGGGTGGGGCCGTGGGGCGGGGCTGGGGGGGACGAGGGCGGGGGTGGGGCTGTGGGGCAGGGACGGGGGAGGGCGGGGCTGGGGGGACGAGGGCGGGGGTGGGGCCGTGGGGCGGGGCTGGGGGGACGAGGGCGGGGCTGGGGGGACGAGGGCGGGGGTGGGGCTGTGGGGCAGGGACGGGGGGAGGGCGGGGCTGGGGGGACGCAGGGCGGGGGTGGGGCCGTGGGGCAGGGACGGGGGGAGGGCGGGGCTGGGGGGGGAACGCAGGGCGGGGGTGGGGCCGTGGGGCGGGGCTGGGGGGGACGCAGAGCGGGGGTGGGCCCGTGGGGCAGGGACGGGGTGGGGCCGTGGGGCGGGGCTGGGGGGGACGCAGGGCGGGGGTGGGGCCGTGGGGCAGGGACGGGGGCGGCTCGGCCGGGGCTCCCCAGACGCTAGGGAGGGGGGCGGTGACATCACTCGTGACGTGATGATGTCATAGCTGGCCCTGCTGACATCACAGCCCCAAGCGGTGACATCACGGTGATGCCAGGCTCACTGGCGACATCACTGTGACATCACATGTGAGGTGTGATGTCATCACGCCGCGGCGACGTGCTCGGTGACGTAATCTAGCCTGGTGACGTCAGGGACACAAATGCTGACGTCACCTCCAGAGGTAACGGTGCGCGGGGCTCGCGCGGCGGCCGTTCTGCCGTAAAGCGGACCCGGCTGGCGTCGCAAGGGGGATCGGACCCGCTGCCGTAAAGCAACGCCGGAGCCTGGCTGCCCCACCGCCGTAAAGCAGCACCGCCTCATGTGTCGTGAACTCCGCCTCGGCGCTGTGACGCAAAGGGCCAGGTGTCGGAAAGACGGGGCGAAGGCGGAATGCCCCTCCCCGCCGTAAAGCGCGACGCCGGCGGCTGCCGTAAAATGGCAAAGCCGCGAGGGCTGCGCGTTGCCGTAAAGCGTCGCCGTCCTCCCCTTACCCCGCCCGGAGAAAAAAAGCCGTCTCGCGCTGCCGTAAAGCGAGGCCGCGCGGTGGGGGGGGTCGGGTAAGTGGGAAGTGTCGTAAAACCGCTTAGCCATCCTCGCCGCCGCGCGCAGGGGCCGGTTTTGCGACAGTGTCGCGCGGTGCCGGGGAACATGGCGGCGGCGGCGGTGGCCGGGGTCGGGGTCGGGCCCGCGGGGCGGTTCCCGGACTGGGCGGGGCGGCCCCTGAGCACCGGGGTGAGCGGGGGGGCCCCGGGGGGCCCCTGGAGGGCAGAGGGGGCGGGGACGGGGGGGGATGGGAGGGGCGAGGAGGGGTCCCGGGGGGGGGGTTAGGGGCTGGGGGATTTGGGGGGCAGGGGGGGTGGGAGGGGCGAGGAGGGGTCCCGCGGGGGGGGTTAGGGGCGGGGGGGGTTTGGGGGGGCAGAGGGGTTGGCGGGGCTGGGAGGGGCGAGGAGGGGTCCCGGGGGGGGGTTAGGGGCGGGGGAGTTTGGGGGGCAGAGGGAGGGCAGGGGGCGGGGACGGGGGGGTGGGAGGGGCGAGGAGGGGTCCCGGGGGGGTTAGGGGCTGGGGGATTTGGGGGCGGGGGGTGGGAGGGGCGAGGAGGGGTCCCGGGGGGGTTAGGGGCGGGGGGGTTTGGGGGGCAGAGGGGTTGGCGGGGATGGGAGGGGCGAGGAGGGGTCCCCGGGAGGGGTTAGGGGCGGGGACGGTGGAGGCGGGGTGTTTGGGGGGCCCCTGGGGGGGCAGAGGGGAGTCCCGGGGCGGGTTTGGAGGGGTGGGGACAGGGGGCAGAGGGGGTGGGAGGTGCGTGGGGGGGTTGTGGGGCGAGGGGGGGTCCTGGGAGGGGTGGGGGGTCTCAGGAGGACTCAAGGCCCCCCCCCGGGGCTGTCTGGCCCCCAGGGGCCGGGGCGGGGGCCGGACTCACTCCCCCTTCTCCCCCCAGACGACCATCATCGCCGTGGAGTTCGACGGGGGGGTTGTGATCGGCGCCGACTCCCGGACCACCACGGGGTGAGCGGGGCGGGGGGGCTGGCCGGGGTGGGGGGCGGGGGGGCTGGTCCGCAGCCCCCCCCCTCCGCCCCCGTCGATGGGTTTGTGTCGGTCTCAGGCCCGGACCGGGCCCTGGTTCTCGCAAGGGGTCTCCCCGGCCCCCCGGGCTCTTATTGTGGGGCCCGCGTCCGAGGGGCGGGCGAGCTCCCGTCGGCGGCTGGATCTAGCTCCCTGTCCGCGGGGGCTTCGTGACCTTAGGGGTCCCGGGGGCGGGTTAAGGGGAGGGTCCCCGGGGCTCGGGGGGGGGTCGGGGGACGGGTTAGGGGAGGGTCCCTGGGGGCGGGGGATGATCCGGCTCCGCCTCCCGCAGCTCCTACGTGGCCAATCGGGTGACGGACAAACTGACGCCGATCCACGAGCGCATCTTCTGCTGCCGCTCCGGCTCCGCCGCCGACACCCAGGCCATCGCCGATGCCGTGGCCTATCAGCTGGGCTTCCACAGGTACCGGCCCCGCCCCCTGGGTCCCTGGCCCCGCCCCCTCAGCCCCAGGTCCATTCCCCGCCCGCCATCGCCGATGCCGTGGCCTATCAGCTGGGCTTCCACAGGTACCGGCCCCGCCCCTGCCTTCCCGGCCCTGCCCCCTGGGTCCCTGGCCCCACCCCCTCAGCCCCAGGTCCATTCCCCGCCCGCCATCGCTGACGCGTGGCCTATCAGCTGGGCTTCCACAGGTACCGGCCCCGCCCTGGGTCCCTGGCCCCGCCCTCAGCCCCAGGTCCATTCCCCGCCCGCCATCGCCGATGCCGTGGCCTATCAGCTGGGCTTCCACAGGTACCGGCCCCGCCCCTCAGCCCCAGGTCCATTCCCCGCCCGCCATCGCCGATGCCGTGGCCTATCAGCTGGGCTTCCACAGGTACCGGCCCCGCCCCCTGGGTCCCTGGCCCCGCCCCCTCAGCCCCAGGTCCATTCCCCGCCCGCCATCGCTGATGCCGTGGCCTATCAGCTGGGCTTCCACAGGTACCGGCCCCGCCCCCTGGGTCCCTGGCCCCGCCCCTCAGCCCCAGGTCCATTCCCCGCCCGCCATCGCCGATGCCGTGGCCTATCAGCTGGGCTTCCACAGGTACCGGCCCCGCCCCTGGGTCCCTGGCCCCGCCCCTCAGCCCCAGGTCCATTCCCCGCCCGCCATCGCTGATGCCGTGGCCTATCAGCTGGGCTTCCACAGGTACCGGCCCCGCCCCTGGGTCCCTGGCCCCGCCCCTCAGCCCCAGGTCCATTCCCCGCCCGCCATCGCCGTGCCGTGGCCTATCAGCTGGGCTTCCACAGGTACCGGCCCCGCCCCTGCCTGCCCGGCCCGCCCTGGGTCCCTGGCCCCACCCCCTCAGCCCCAGGTCCATTCCCCGCCCGCCATGCGAGCCGTGGCCTATCAGCTGGGCTTCCACAGGTACGGCCCCGCCCCTGGGTCCCTGGCCCCGCCCCCTCAGCCCCAGGTCCATTCCCCGCCCGCCGTCGCTGACGCCGTGGCCTATCAGCTGGGCTTCCACAGGTACCGGCCCCGCCCCCTGGGTCCCTGGCCCCGCCCCCTCAGCCCCAGGTCCATTCCCCGCCCGCCATCGCCGATGCCGTGGCCTATCAGCTGGGCTTCCACAGGTACTGGCCCCGCCCCCTGGGTCCCTGGCCCCGCCCCCTCAGCCCTGGGTCCATTCCCCGCCCACCATCGTCAACACCATGGCCTATCAGCTGGGCTTCCACGGGTATCGGCCCTGCCCCCCTGAGCCTGCCAGGCCCCCCTGCGGCCGGTGGGAGTCGGCACCCCCTAGAGGGGACAGGCCCGCGCCCCATTCCCGCCCCCCCGGAGCCCGCCAGGCCCCCCACACCCGCTGGAGGGGACAGGCCCGCGCCCCGTTCCCGCCCCCCGCAGCCCGCCAGGCCCCCCACACCCGCTGGAGGGGACAGGCCCGCGCCCCGTTCCCGCCCCGCAGCCCGCCAGGCCCCCCACACCCCCTAGAGGGGACAGGCCCGCGCCCCGTTCCCGCAGCCCGCCAGGCCCCTGACGGCGGTTCCCTGCCCCACAGCATCGAGCTGGACGAGCCGCCCCTGGTGCACACGGCCGCCAGCCTCTTCAAGGAGATGTGTTACCGGTACCGCGAGGACCTC